TAATTCTATGACAGGTCTTTCTCAGTCCATAAATTACCCAGGTTGGTCTCCAGGTTGCAGTCCTCCTGCCTCTGCCTCCTAGGGTGTGGGGATTCCAGGTGTGTACCACCATCCCCAACTTTAACATTCTTAATTAGGTAGAAAGACTTTAGGTTAAGCTTATTGTTTAAAGGGATTTTTTTCTTCCCTGATTCACGTGTTGTTGTCTTTTGTTATTTTTTTTTTAGATGTATTGGCTTTTTCCTTGCTGATTTTATTATAATAAGACTATACGACAAATCTTTTCCCAGTTTGCCGTTTAGCATTTAGTTGCTTTTTGCTGTTATTACTTCTACTACTTTTTTCTTTTTAAAACCTTTTAGTTCATCTGCTGGTTGTCCTCAGGCAGTGCCTCATAGCCTACAGAAGGAAGCACCACGGAGTTCCAGCAGGACAGTCGGAACCCACACCGAGCACCTCCCTTGACCGAATAGCTGTGTTTTCTACTTTTATACCACTTTCATAAATATGTATATGATAAATGAAAGTGTTGATCTATCTAAAAGCATTACTGAGTTCATGGTGAGATTTTGTCATTAGGTATTTTATTCAACCAGTGATGCTAAGTGTTAAGTTACTGCCCGCGGGGAGCAGGAGCTCCGCCTGGGATGGTCTCTGTGGGTCAAGCACAGGCACCAGACTCTGTACTTGAAGGGAAGGTCTTCAGAAATTCTCACCTAACTCTGCAGGAAGCAGGGGAAAGGGGATCTGGCGGTCACCTCCAAAGACTGTGGAGACTGACACACTAGTCTCAGCCCCTTTCACAAACCTACCTTGGTTGACACGGAGTTCAGAGCAGTATTGGAGTTTAGCGATGCCGTTCCCCCCAGATTATGTGGGTAAGTGTCAGTGAGGCCTGTGCTCAGGAATGGAAAACTCGAAACTTCCTGACTTAAAGACACGAGAAAGATTGTTAGCACATGGCGAGAGGTGAGGTAAAGCAGGAGAGATGGGTTTAGATAGGTTGGCTTTGCCCTCTGGGTCAGATATAGTAAACTAGAGATGTCGAGAGCCATCTAGGAGACTGACAGTTTGGGGTGGGAAGAGAGATCTGAGGTAAATATTTAGGATTTGAACTCTGTGTCTGTGCGATAATTGAAAACACTAGCAGGTCCATGGCGCTGCCCACAAGAACAGGTAAATGACAGCCTGGAGGCTGCAGTGCCGGGAGAAGGGTAGAAGAGAACAGCCTGAAAAGGTAGAAATGGTCAGAGATGAGAAGCTCCCGTAAAAGTATGCAGTACAGCAGCAAGAATATTTTCATTTAAGAATCAGACCTATTAGAAAAAAATGAGCTGTGTAACTTTAGGCAAGTTTCTCAACTTCTGAGTCTGTTTCCTTGTTCCTATGTGAAGATAATAAATATCTGCTTTAAAGAACTGTCATGAGGGTGTGTACTAATGCTCTGGTTTTTCTCACAGTAAAGAATAGATGGTTTATAGGAGCTAAGGGAGGCTGCCAAGAATGTGATCCTTTTAAGAATGAAATGTATTATCATGCTATACAGTGGACCTGGCTTGCAGGGGTTTTGTGGGATTAGTTAAGCAGAATATCAACTAGTGTGCCGGTGAGTTCTCAGGCTTAGGACACAGGACGCAGCATCTGAGTATGAGAATCCATCCTTCTTATTCACTGATTGATACTGGCTTAACCTGGAGCTAAAGATAGGTTTAGAGGCGTAGTATAACCCTGTCTTCAAGTCCTTTTCTTATTGAGGAACTTCCTCTATTAGAAAATAAAACTAGGCAGGGAGGAGGAAAAGATAAGAAAAAAAAAAAAAGAACAGAAGAAAAAAAATAGAGACAAAGCTTTTGTAAACAAGGAGGGGAGGGGAATGTGAGAAACAGAAGCAAGATACACCAGGTACAGGTACAAATTCCTCATGAATGTGATCATTCTGTATATCTAAAATTACCAACAATTTTTTTTTTAAACCTGCAGGGAAAAAAAAAACAACGGGATTACAGAAAATCCCTTTTCCCAGAACAGTAAACCGAAATGTTAAGATAGCCATCCTTTATTCAACTTCGTTCAAAATAAAACAATTTTAATATCTTTTTTTAAAAATAAAGGTAATGTGAAAATTATGTACAAGTATGACGAATTTCAGGCTTTATAGAAAGATAAAGTGAAAGTTCCTCTGCCTCACATCCAGTGCCATCCCATGAGGTAACTACTGTGTGTGTGAGTGTGCAGTCCCTCACTCAGCTCTGTTTCAGGCTGACTCTCAAAGTCTCTGGCAATATACTGGATAAAAATGGTGCTCACTTTAGTAAGTTCTTCATGAATTTGAGGATTTTTATCATATGATTGGCTATTTTAATTTATTATTCTGTTACTCCTGCCTTTTCCTATTTTGTTTCTCTTATCGATTACAAAAATTACTGATCTTATTAATTTGTAATGTCTTCATTTTTTTTCTTTTTCTTTCTCTTTCGTGTGTGTGCTGGAGATTGAACTCAGGGCCTTCCCACTGAGCGTCATCCCTGCCACCCCACCCCACCCGTCCCCCAAGGCCTTTTTGAGACTGGGTCTTCCAGAGTCGCCTTGTTGGGCTTGAAGTTTCCATCCCTGCGCTAGAATTACAGGCAGGCACCACCGCCTCCAGCCCTAACCTAATGCCTTTTAACATGGGAGAGATTAACCCTTTACTGAGCATCCCTGGCAAATAGTTTCTCCGAGTTTGTTTTTACTTAAATTTTGTCGATAGGGCATTTTACTCCGCAGCAGTTCTCGAGTTTTATATATTGAGATTTGTCGGTTCTTCCCCGTAGGGTTTCTCATTCTTAAGATTTTTTTTTTTTTAATTCAACAATGTCTTCTCTAGCAGTTTCCCGTTTCACGTTAGCATCCACCTGACCCTGACCCGACTGCGTGGGGACCAGGGCTCTGCTCCGCACTCACCGGCCTCAGCACTCTGCGCACCTCGCGGAGGACCTGCTCCTGGTTCCGCACCGAGCACAGCACGAGGGTGCAGACCACCGCGTCCACGGTGCCGTCGGCCACCTGGTGCATGTTCTCCCCCACACCCACCAGGAAGCGCTCGAACTGCAGGTGTCGGTTCTCGGCGATGCTCTGGACCAAGTACTTCTCAAAGTTGGGGTTGGGGTCGATACAGGTCACCCTGCACTCCGGGGGGTAGAACTTGAAGTTGGCCCCGGTGCCGCAGCCCAGCTCCAGCAGGGACAGCTTCCCCGAGGGGCCCGCAAACTCCTGCAGGTTGCTGAAGAGCTCCCGCTTCTTGCTTGCCATTTGTTTGTTGTATATCACAGTGAACCTCGACAAGAAGCAGGGAAACCACATTTTGCAAATCCAGCTCCACAGGCCCAGAAAATTCAGCAGGTGCACGGGAAGTAACAGGATGGAGATGGCCAGCTGAAGGACAAAAACTACGAACGCCATCTCAGAGCGGAGAGGAAGCAGCAGTGAGGGACGAGACTCCTTCGGTACAGGAAGGCGGCTGCCGCCCGCGCCCTCCGGAGCCAATCGCTGGGTCGGGACTCGCCGGGCTGGGAGGGGCGGCGCGGTCGAGAGCTCTTCGGGCCGAGGTTGGCTAATGGCTGGTACGTTTGTTTGGTGAGATGTGAGCGTCAGTTTGGTGAGATGAGTGTTGCCAGCTTTTCCCTCGGAAGAATGTTGATTACGACCTTTTATTCCCAATCTGCTTCCCTTCCTCTTTTGCTGTTTTCCTGCTCGAGTTTTTTTGTGCGCGGTGTACTTTTCCCACCACCCCGATCCCTCCGGTCCTTTACAAAGGAAACAGCCTGAGCATGGAGCCTGGTTAAAGCACACCGAAGACCCCGGCCCCTTTACCGTGACGTCGGTCCGACGGTTTTCCCTGCCAAGCCCCTCCCATCTTCCCTTTACCCCACCCTTCTCAGGCCCTGTTTTTTAAAAAGAACCGAAGGACGTGCTCTGCCTGCCACAGTACACAAGGATTCTTCCTTTTACACTCCAGGCCGAGGCTTCCGAGTTAACTCACCGCCGCTTGTTGTTAAATCACTGTTTGGGGTTGCTCGTCGTTAAAGAGCAAATCTCCATTTTTAAATTGTGTTTGACTACTGTATTACTCAGCTAATTTAAAAAAAAAAAATAGGCCTCCTGGGTGTGGTTGCAAATGCCTGTAATTCCAGCACTTGGGAGGCTGAGACAGGAAGATCGCTGAGTTTGAGGGCAACCTGGACTACATAGTTCAAATCCAGCCTGAACTACCTAGAAAGACCCTGCCTCAAAACAAAAACAAAAAAACTATATATATAGATATATAGAGATATATCTCAGAACACTCACATTTAGGAGGCCTAAAGGTTTCAGAAAATAGTTGCAGCCATCTACAATTTAGGATAGTTAGGGAACACAGAAATTTTTAAAAACATCAGTAACCTTTATTTTTTTAAACAGGGTGGGCCGTTCTGTTGTTTCAGTATTTGGTTTACCCTACACAGTTTGCATGTTTTATTGATTTCCCACACACACACACTACCGCTTTTTTTCCTTGCAGCTCTAGGGGTGAAACCCCAGGGCCTTTTGCATGCTAAGCAAGAACTCCCCCTCCCCAGCCTTTTCTGTTTTTTATTTTGAAATGGTCTGAGTAACCGGGCTGCCTTGAGCTCATTGTCTTCGGCCTCCTGAGTAGCTGGGATTACAGGTGTGCATCGTTCATCCAGCTCCCTCTCCAGTCATTTGTGGGGTGGCTGCTGGTCTGAGACAGCCTCGGTCTGCCCAGCGCTGGGATGACAGGCGTGTGCCACTATGCCCGGCTCATTTGTTTTTCTTTTACAAAATGGTTTCTGCCAGCGTCAATAATTTTCTGATCAACAAGTGATGTGATTACCAAACCCTTTGCAATTTTTTTTTTAATTTTATTAGGACTTGTTTGCAGCATAGGAAGTTTACAGTCATTTTAAGGAGGAGTAGGTATAGCCGAGCGTGGTGGTGCACGTCTGTAATCCCAGCACTTGGGAGGCTGAGGCAGGAGGACTGGGTGCAAGTTCAAGGCAGCCTGGGCTACACAGTGAGCTCAAGGCCAGCCTGAACTGCGTAGCCCGATTCTGCCTCAAAAAAAGAGTAGGTACATGAGGCACTTGCCCAGCTTGTTTCTTCTAAAATCCTCTTCCCTTTCCCACGCATTGCCCTCCCTCCATCTCTAAATCTGCTTTCCCCGTTTTCTTGTTACTGTTTCAAATTCACACGTATAACATAGAATGCTTAATTCATTGTGCGTATTTGTTGCATGTGATACATCTTAAATCGTTTTCACTTCGCTTTTCCCTCCCTTCTTCCCTTGCCTTCAATTCTCCTAGATCCCTTCCTGTTTGCAAACCACGCATTGCCCTCCCTCCATCTCTAAATCTGCTTTCCCCGTTTTCTTGTTACTGTTTCAAATTCACACGTATAACATAGAATGCTTAATTCATTGTGCGTATTTGTTGCATGTGATACATCTTAAATCGTTTTCACTTCGCTTTTCCCTCCCTTCTTCCCTTGCCTTCAATTCTCCTAGATCCCTTCCTGTTTGCAAAAGTTCTATATCCTCTAGTATAACATAGAATGCTTAATTCATTGTGCGTATTTGTTGCATGTGATACATCTTAAATCGTTTTCACTTCGCTTTTCCCTCCCTTCTTCCCTTGCCTTCAATTCTCCTAGATCCCTTCCTGTTTGCAAAAGTTCTATTTCCTTGAGTCCTTCTATCCTTTATTTTGCTCTTTATTTGTACTTTGCCATATGTGAGAGAGAATAGCATATGGTATTTAAGTCTGTATGTCTGATATCTGTTTTATATATAGTTAAGATATGTGTTAATATGTAAAATATATATTATGTAATATATTATGAAATATATGATACTGTGTGTTTGCATATCTGTTCTACCTATTTTATCTTTCAGTAACTTCTCTGTTACTGTTTTAATGTTTAGATCTTTGATCCAAACTAAAATCTTTTGATTTTTAGTTTAGTACCTGGTGGGAGAGATGGGTCCAGCTTCAGTCTTCTGCAAATAGCTAGCCAATTTTCCCAGCACCATTTGTTGAATAACCTGTCTTTCCTCCTGCCACAGCTCCCGTGGCTGAAGGGTTCCTGAGTGAGAAAAGAAGGGTGGGAGATTAAGCAAGTCAAAGACAGCAGTAAACTTTATAAAGCTGAGGCCACGTGGACACCCTGTGTCCTGAGGAGATCAAAGGCTTGGCTCGCACCCTCAGCACCTTTATTTATAGTGTAGATAATAAGAAAAAGGAAAGGGGCTGCCTGAGTGGAACAGGGAGAACGGCTAGGATCGCAGGAGACATGCTTGATGTTTCCCTGTCCCATAGGTGGGAAGGAAGCTAGTCCTGGTCTCACCAGGCCTTCTCCCACCACACCTTTTGTGGGAGGAGGCAGGTCAGGCCTGGCCGTAGTGATCTACAGCACAGTGCACCCAGCATCCTGCAACATATGTGATCGGCCCCTTTGTCAAAGATCAAATAGCATAACGTGTCTGAGGGTGTTTCTGTATCCTCTGTGCTATTCCTTTGACCCACATGTCTGTTTCTGTGCCAGCACCATGCTGTTGTTTTTTGGGTTTGGGGGCTGGTTTTTTTTTTTGTTGTTGTTGTTTTTTGTTTTTGGTACCAGGGATCGAACTCAGGTCCTTGCTGTTTTTATCATTCCTTCTTTGAGGTATGATTGGATGTCAAGTATTGTGATGCCTCCTGCTTTGCTTTTGTTGCCCAGGATTGCTTTTCCTAAACTGGGTCCATATAAATTTTAAGATTACTTTCTCTAGTTTTGTGAGGAATCCTGTTAGTATTTTGATTGGCAATATGTCGAATCTCTGTAACAGTTTTGGAAGTATGGCCATTTTGACAGCGCTGGTTCTGCCTATCCAGGAATGGGGGACATCTTTCCGTTTTCTGATATCCTCTTGCACGGTCTCCTTCAGAGTGTACTGTAGTTTTCTTTGTAAAAGTCTTCTACTTCTGTGGTTAGGTTAATTTTTAGGTGTTTTATTTTTCTTGATGCTATATCGAATGGCATTTTTCCCTAATTTCTTTGTCATTAAATTCATTGCATACATGAATGTTACTGATTTTTTTATGTGGACTTTGTATCTTGCTACATTGATGAAGTTGGTTATTAATTCTAAGAGTTTTTGATGGATGTTATGGCTTGTGTCTAGATGTCCCCCATCCCTGTCTCAAAAAACCAAAAAACAAAAACAAAAAAAAACATAATCATGTGAATTTCTTGTCCTTGCTGGGGTTTATGTGATGTATTACATTTATTGATTTGCATATGTTGAACTATCCCTGTATCCATGGAATGAAGCCTCGTTGGTCATAAGGTATGATATTTTAATGATTTGTTTCATTCTGTTTGCCGCTATCTTTTTGAAGATCTTTGCATCTACATTCACTGTAAGATTGACCTATAGTTTTTTTAGTTGAATTCTCTTTTGGTTTTGGAATCAAGGTAATGCTAGCTTCCAGGAATGCATTTGGCTGTACTCCTTCCCTTTCAACTTCATTAAAGATTGGGGGGGTGTTGTTTTTTGAGACAGAGTCTCACTATGTAGTTGAGACTGACCTGGAACTCACTGTGTAGCCCAGGCTGGTCTCCAAATCACAGTGATCCTCCTGCCTCAGCCTCCAGAGTGCTGGGATTATAGGCGTGTGCCACCACACCCGGTTCATTAAAGATTTTTGAGGAGTATTGTTCCCTGATGTTCTTGTAGAATTCAGCAGTGAATCCATCAGGTCCTGGGTTTGTCTAGTTGGTAGACTTTTTATTACTGCCTCAATTTCATTGCCTGTTATTAGATTATCCAGGGTTTGGGGGGTGTCGTTTTTGTTTGTTTGTTTTTGTTTTGTTTTTGGTACCAGAACTTGGGACTTTCATTTGCAAAGCAGGCTGCAGAACCACTGAGGTAAATCCCTGGCCCAATAATTCTTATGTATATAGGAATCTATTTCTTCTGTATTCTCCTATCTACCTATCTATTTATTTATTATTTTGGTTTTTTGAGACACGGTCTTGCTGTTAATTCAGACTGGCCTTGAACTCACTATGTAGTGCAGGCTGACCTTGATCTCGCAGCGATCCTCCTACTTCAGCTTCTCAAATGCTGGGATTACAGGCGTGCGCCACCACGCCCGGCTCTTCAGTTTATTACTACGATTAGGGTACAGATTTTCAAAGTAGATAAAAAATAATCATCTAGACTTTGGTGGTGGTCACTGTAATTACATCTTGCTCATTATTTCTAATTGCACTGATATAGGTCTTTACCTTTTTTACCAAGTCTGGCTGTTCTCTTTATTCTTTCAAAGAACCAGCTCTTCACTTCATTGATTCTTTATATTTTTCAAATCTCAGTTTCATTAGTTTCTGCTCCAATCTTTAATAATTCCCTTCCTTCCTTGTACAAGTTTTGGATTTGAATTGTTTGTGTTTTTCTAGAACCTTGAGGCCCATCATTAGGTTATTTGTTTGAACTCACTGTTTTTCTGATGTGGGCATTCCTCTTAGGACTGCTTTCATTGTGTCTCATACGTTTTGATATGTTATACTGGCATTATTGTTTGATTCTAGGGACTGTGTGCTTTTTT